CTTGATTTGTGCCAAAAAAAAAAAAAAATGAATCCCGGCGTGTTAATATGTGACACTTGTATCATGATGTTATTTTTCAATACGTTGAAAAACTATTAAAAAAATCTACGCTAGTTCAAACTATGTAACAAGCTGCCAACACTAAATTCTGATACAAGAATCTAACTTACATATAAAAGTGTAGCACTTAAAAAAAACAATCCTAGCTATTACCCTGTGAAACATTATATTATGATATGCAAACTATACATCAATATTTATTTTATTTATTACATAGTTACATAGTTAGTCTGGCTGAAAAAAGACAAAAGTCCATCCATTTCAACCATTAAAAAAAAAAAAAGTTATAATCCTACACCCACAGTTGATCCAGAGGAAGGCAAAAAAAAATCCCAGCAAAACACGATCCAATTTGCTGCTGCGGGAAAAAAATTCCAGGTACTTAAATAGTGACGTCAATTTAAGAAGCACTTTACATATATATATATTGTACATTCACATGGGGTTCCAGAGTGGTCCATCAGGATGGGGTTTCCAGGGTTCCAGAGAGGTCCATCAGGATGGGTTCCAGAGTGGTCCACCAGGATGGGGAGAGGTCCATCAGGATGGGGTTCCAGAGTGGTCCACCAGGATGGGGTTCCAGAGAGGTCCATCAGGATGGGGTTCCAGAGTGGTCCATCAGGATGGGGTTCCAGAGAGGTCCATCAGGATGGGGTTCCAGAGTGGTCCATCAGGATGGGGTTCCAGAGAGGTCCATCAGGATGGGGTTCCAGAGAGGTCCATCAGGATAGGGTTCCAGAGAGGTCCATCAGGATGGGGTTCCAGAGAGGTCCATCAGGATAGGGTCAGTAGTCATGCTCAAGGGTCCTTTAGAAGAACAATGGCAGAGGAAGTTTATCTAAAAACAATGGTGTAGCGCTAAATTAAAACTAAAACCTCATAAACCTCATAAACATCATAAGCACATAATAGACATAAAATAGACATAAAAACATATATAGGTGAGCTGTCACATAATAAACTTCACACGTGACCACGCAGAAAGAATATCCCCAATATGGGGGATCAAATATCTGTGAAATGAGTGATACCCTAAACAGGGAATTCAAATAATAAAGTGCAAGTGTCCAACACATATACAATTCATGCCAGATGAAAGTCCACTAAAACAGCTTATGTTGTGCAAAAAGAAATGCCCGCAGCGATAAAAGAAGAAAAGAATTAGCGCAGGGCAGGCATGACTAGGCCCAGAGTGGGAAGGAAGACGTGTAAGGGTTAATGATAGTATTAGGGTTGGTAAAGGATAGCTGGGGGATCTGGTTGGTAGAGGGAGAGTGTAGGTGGACCTTAGGGTGGGGTGTCCTGGGGAGGGGCGTCAGTTGGAGCTGGACGTGGGTGAGAGAGCTTCCCTCCCGCCCTCCCTGTTTGGTGAGTGTTGTGTTCCTCCTGGGGGGGGGTTATTTCGGTTCCTGGGCGGTGGTTGGTCTTTGGAGGCGGTTCTTATCTTGGAGGTACAGATAATGGTGTGGGACCCATCGTTGGTATGGTGTGCCCGGGAACATTCCAGTTAACCAAGGTTTAACTGGAAGGTGGTGGTGCTGCACTGCGGACGGTATGGTTGTTTCCGAGCTGGTTGGTTGCGGCTGGAGGCCTAGTGGAATATGGTTGTCCGCAGGTGCATTTCGGATCGTTTTGGGGGTGCCTTCAAAGACCAACGACAACTCTTTATGTTTTCTGTTATAAGGAATGGTTGATGTGTTTAAACTTGATTTGTTAATAAAAGGCCGTGTTGGCCATTTTACTCCAAAAATTGGTGTTATGTTTTCTGTAAGTATAGTAAGTAAAGGGGATTGGTATGGAAGGGTAATGGTGGTGTAGTGGGGTCTGGATGAACCTATCTCAGGTGCACTAGTCATGCAAAAAACTCTTGTGGATTCAATTGGTAAAACCGTGGGGTGATTATGGTGCACACCCTGTGTAATGGTATCCATAAATGGCCAATAAACTACCCTACTAAACACCTTTGGAATACACTGGAAGACCAAATGCGAGCCAGGTCTTCTCATCCAACATCAGTACCTGACCTCACAAATGACCCTAATCCTAATCAGCACTTTTAGAATGAATTGGAATGCCAATTATGAGCCAGGTCTTCTCATCCAACACCAGTACCTCACCTTACAAATGTCTCAAACCTACTACTAAACACCTTTGGAATAAACTGGAACACCAAATGTGAGCCAGGTCTTCTCATCCAACATCAGTACCTGACCTCACAATTGACCCTAATCCTAATCAGCACCTTTAGAATGAATTGGAATGCCAATTATGAGCCAGGTCTTCTCATCCAACACCAGTACCTCACCTTACAAATGTCTCAAACCCTACTAAACACCTTTGGAATAAACTGGAACACCAAAGGTGAGCCAGGTCTTCTCATCCAACATCAGTACCTGACCTTACAAATGTCTCAAACCCTACTAAACACCTTTGGAATAAACTGGAACACCAAATGTGAGCCAGGTCTTCTCATCCAACATCAGTACCTGACCTCACAAATGACCCTAATCCTAATCAGCACCTTTAGAATGAATTGGAATGCCAATTATGAGCCAGGTCTTCTCATCCAACACCAGTACCTGACCTTACAAATGTCTCAAACCTTACTAAACACCTTTGGAATAAACTGGAACACCAAATGTGAGCCAGGTCTTCTCATCCAACATCAGTACCTGACCTCACAATTGACCCTAATCCTAATCAGCACCTTTAGAATGAATTGGAATGCCAATTATGAGCCAGGTCTTCTCATCCAACACCAGTACCCTCACCTTACAAATGTCTCAAACCCTACTAAACACCTTTGGAATAAACTGGAACACCAAATTTGAGCCAGGTCTTCTCATCCAACATCAGTACCTGACCTTACAAATGTCTCAAACCCTACTAAACACCTTTGGAATAAACTGGAACACCAAATGTGAGCCAGGTCTTCTCATCCAACATCAGTACCTGACCTCACAAATGACCCTAATCCTAATCAGCACCTTTAGAATGAATTGGAATTGCAATTATGACACAGGTCTTCTAATCCAACACCAGTACCTCACCTTACAAATTTCTCCAACCCTACTGAACACCTTTGGAATAAACTGGAACAGAAAATGTGAGCCAGGTCTTCTCATCCAACATCAGTACCTGACCTCACATATGACCCTAATCCTAATCAGCACCTTTAGAATGAATTGGAATGCCAAATGTGAGCCAGGTCTTCTCATCCAACATCAGTACCTGACCTCACAAATATTCCTTTGGTTGAATGGACACAAATTCCCCTAGACACTCTTCAAAATTTTGTGGAAAGCCTTCTCAGAAGTATGAAGGCTGTTATAGCTTCAAAGGGGGACATCTCTATATTAATGGCCATGGTTTTCAAATAAGATGCCCAAAAAGCTCATGTAGGTGTGATGCTTAGGTGACCAAAAACGTTTAGCAATATAAAGCATGTCTATTTTTTTTTTTCGCTTGTTACTGGAAGAATAAAGCATTGCAGGAATACCGACACAATCAGTTTTCAGTTTCTTCATTTCTTGCCGAAGATTGTGAATGACAGAGACACAATGCCGAGGTGGTTCTTCCCAGCCACAATGATCCATTTACAGTTAGGATACTTATATAAGTATTTCTGAGAAATCCTCATCCTCCGTCCAAACATGCCGTATTTCACCAACCCAAACAAAAGGCGACTCTGGGAGCCATGACGCCTGCCCCTTTTCCCAGAATGCAGCTGTGCAGGATCACCCTAGCAGTAACTGTCATGTACTTACTGAAATAAAACAAGGGGTTAGAGACATATTGAGCTGCCTGACATGCACTATTACAAATTGCTTCTGCATGAATCAATATTTATGTTTTCAGATAATGCTATTTTACCTGTGTTCAATGCCTGGCACAGAGGTGTCACGTATTGACCGATGAGATTAATGAACACTGTAGTCCCGGATATCAGCTAGGACGATCTATGAAAATATTTAAAGAAGACCCTTGCTTGACACTAACAGGCCTGGGGAAGGTCTTCTGGATTGTAAACTGTCCGGATCGGGGTTGGGTAAGTAAGACTATGGTTTGATTCGACAAGTGATGGCACTTACGGCATGCTTAACAGGGTTTACGGCAAGATACAATTGCATTTGACAATATTGACCGAGATGAGAGCACCCTTTATTATGCCCTAAGTGAACTTTCTGGTGCCTTATAGCTCAACTTCAGGGAAAAGAAAAATCCTCCCTAGCAAAGGAGCTGCTCTCGCATTGCAAGCACTTTAATTACACGATATTCCAGCTCCCTACAGGGCCACGGGGCCCCATACAGCCAACCTGGCAAGGCCCTTCCCGCTCCCAAAACAAAAACCTACGTTTTGACTGAATAAAGCTTCAGACCTGTATTGGAGATTCTGGTTTGCTGGTGTCAAAATTTTTAATCTGATGTAAGGGGCAGGGTCGGGACGAGGAGTGGGCAGGAGGGACAATTGCCCTGGGTGCAGTGGTATCATGTGAGGTGCGGAGGGGGGGGAGCACCGCATGGAAAGTTCCTACCTGCAAGCTGACAGGAGTAATGAAGGCAGCTTCTCTACTCCTGTCAGCTTAGCTCTGGAGGAGACAAGCCAGATGTGGAGAGGAGGAGAGAGCTGGGAGGAGGGACAGGTTGTGCTCTCTCTCCCTACCAGCTCCTCCTCCTGCCACTGCAGCTCTCCTGGATCGATCCTGTGCAACATTTGTTTACCCTCCCCCATCTCCTCCCAGCAAAGAGTGTGGCTTGGGGGAGGGTAAGAAAACAATGCACAGTGGTAATCTGACAGCTATTGGCATCTCTATTGCGGGGCCCCAATGTTGCAGTCCTATAACCCTCTATAGCCCCCCTATAGTGCTTGCATTTTTTTTTTGGGGGGAGGAGATTTTTGCTGACGCGTAATGCTAATACATTTTGGGTGGGTGCTGTTTGGCATCTTTGCCTTGGGCAAAACTAGTAAGGAGGGAACTCTGATGGGGACCTTGATATAAGGGGGAACTCTGATGGGGACCCTGATGTAAGGGGGAACTCTGATGGGGACCCTGATGTAAGGGGGTACTCTGATGGGGATCCTGACATAAGGGGGAACTCTGATGGGGACCATGATGTAAGGGGGAACTCTGATGGGGACTCTGATGTAAGGGAGAACATTGAAGGGGACCCTGATGTAAGGAGGAACTCTGAGGGGACCCTGACATAAGGGGGAACTCTGATTGGGACTCTGACATAAGGGGGAACTCTGATGGGGACTCTGACATAAGGGGAACTCTGATGGGACTCTGACATAAGGGGGAACTCTGATGGGAATCCTGATGCAAGGGGGAACTCTGATGGGAACCCTGACGCAAGGGGGAACTCTGATGGGAACCCTGACGTAAAGGGAACTCTGATAGGGGACTCTGACTAAGGGTGAACTCTGATGGGGTATGGGGGAACTCTGATGGGTACCCTGATGTAAGGGGGAACTCTTATGGGGACCCTGATGTGAGGGGGAACTCTGATGGGGACCTGATGTAAGGGGGAACTTCATGGGGACCCTGATGTAAGGGGGATAGCTCTGAAGGGGAACTCCTGACGTAAGGGGGAACTCTGATGGGGATAGGGGGACTGGGGAGCTCTGAAGGGGGACTCTGACGTAAAGGGAACTCTGATAGGGACTTTGACATAAGGGGGAACTCTGATGGGGACCCTGACATAAGGGGGAACTCTGAATGGGACCCTGATGTAAGGGGGAACTCTGATTGGAATCCTGATGCAAGGGGGAACTCTGAGTGGGACCCTGATGTAAGGGGGAACTCTGATTGGAATACTGATGCAAGGGGGAACTCTTATGGGGACCCTGACATAAGGGGAACTCTGATGCGGACTCTGAAGTAAGGGGGAACTCTGATGGGGACCCTGACGTAAGGGAGAACTCTGTGGGGGACGTGATGTAAGGGGAAACTCTGATGGGAATCCTGACGCAAGGGGGAAACTCTGATGCAGATTCTGAACTAAGGGGGAACTCTGATGGGGATCCTGACGTAAGGGGGAACTCTGATGGGGATCCTGACATAAGGGAAACTCTGATGCAGACTCTGAACTAAGAGGGAACTCTGATGGGGATCCTGACGTAAGGGGGAACTCTGATGGGGACCATGACATAAGGGGAACTCTGATGCAGACTCTGAAGTAAGGGGGAACTCTGATGGTTACCCTGATGTAAGGGGGAACTCTGGTGGGGATCCTGACATAAGGGGGAACTCTTATGGAGACCCTGACATAAGTGGGGACTGCGATGGAGACTCTGATGTAAGGGTGGAACTCTGATGGGGACTCTGAAGTAAGGGGGAACTCTGATGGGGAATCCTGATATAAAAGGGAATCTGATGTGGACTTTTACTAAAATTCTTTTTCTTTTGTTCTGAATAGCCGTAGATAGCATGAAGCAGATGTCACCTTGAATATCCAATCAATTGCAAGGAGAAACAATGGATGATTTACGCAAATCACAGCTTTGCCTTTGCGAAGTGAACAGTGTCTTCTCCTCCAGTAAATCAACTCGTTTTAAACATTTCAAAGCCAGATTTTTTTAAAAAAAGGTCATCTTTGGCCAACTCTTCAACGCGCAGGATCATATCCACAAACCGCGTACGATTACGCCATCCTTTAACTCTTTCTCTTTATTTTTGGACGCATCTCTGACATTCCAGCCCTTGAAACAAAGTCTCTCCTTTTCTTTTTTTCTATTTCTCATTTTCGCACGGTGTTTCGGTAGCGCGTTCACACCTGTCCTCCGATCGCCTGCCAGTTGGCATCTGGGTCTGTCTGACAGCTGTGTCTGCCTTGACTAATGATGTGATTGATGGACAAAATAAGGACGAATGTAGAGGAGTAGAAGAGGGGAAAGAAATATGTCCTGTCTACTCGGGGCCCCCGGTGTGTCAGTGCACCTTCATCAAGTGGCTGGGGAAGGTATATATCACGGCATGGCTCATTACGTCCTAATGACGAAGCCCTGGCTACAGGGGATGCTTGTCATGACACTGCACAGCAGGTTGCTTTTCAGGTCTAGAGGGTGTCCCTTCCTTCTAGCGCACAACAGCGGTCATCATCAATATTGCCTCGGTTCGTGTTTTCAGTTCCTCTCTCTCTGCCACCTTGTTTGTCACCATCAACATAACATGAACCTACAGAAAGTAAAAAGTCACCTCCAGCTTCCCACACAAAAAAAGTAAAAAAAATAATTTTCCTGCCTTTGATAAAATAAATAAATCAGCTCTTGCTCCAATACTCACCCTATCTCTGGCACTGTCCCAAAAAGAACAAACACAACAAACACTTTACTAGGAAAGGACTCGGTAGACCCAATAGGAATGTTCTGGAATCTTCTGGAATATGCACTGCTTGCTGCCCTCAACAGACCGGGGTGGTCCGCATACACTGGATACAAATGGGGAAACAGTAAAAGGGCGCACCGACCTAGTGCATTATCGTTTAAAATAATTTATTAAAGAAACAAAAATAGGTATCATACTCACAATGGACATAATAACACAGGCATGTCAAACTGAACAAGATGTATGATCCAAACAACATCTGAGTCCATACGATGGAACCCTGGATGACCAACTTGCTAACGCGTTTCGAGGACACAACCTCTTCCTCAGAGCCAACCAGCTCCAGCTTCCCCACAAAAAAAGTCAAAAAAAAATTATTTTCCTGCCTTTGATAAAATAAATAAATCAGCTCTTGCTCCAATACTCACCCTATCCCTGGCACTGTCCCAAAAAGAACAAACACAACAAACACTTTACTAGGAAAGGACTCAGTGGACCCAATAGGAATGTTCTGGAATTTTCTGGAATATGCACTGCTTGCTGCCCTCAAGAGACTGGGGAGGTCCGAATACACTGGATGGAGAAACAGAAAAAGGGCGCACCGACCTAGTGCATTATCGTTTAAAAATATTTATTGAAGAAACAAAAATAGGTATCATACTCACAATGGACATAATAACAGAGGCATGTCAAACTGAACAAGACGTATGATCCAAACAACATCTGAGTCCATACGATGGAACCCTGGATGACCAACTTGCTAACGCGTTTCGAGGACACAACCTCTTCCTCAGAGCCAACCAGCTCCAGCTTCCCCACAAAAAAAAGTAAAAAAAATAATAATTTTCCTGCCTTGATAAAATAAATAAATCAGCTCTTGCTCCAATACTCACCCTATCTCTGGCACTGTCCCAAAAAGAACAAACACAACAAACACTTTACTCCTGCACTAGGAAAGGACTCGGTAGACCCAATAGGAATGTTCTGGAATCTTCTGGAATATGCACTGCTTGCTGCCCTCAACAGACCGGGGTGGTCCGCATACACTGGATACAAATGGGGAAACAGAAAAAGGGCGCACCGACCTAGTGCATTATCGTTTAAAATAATTTATTAAAGAAACAAAAATAGGTATCATACTCACAATGGACATAATAACACAGGCATGTCAAACTGAACAAGATGTATGATCCAAACAACATCTGAGTCCATACGATGGAACCCTGGATGACCAACTTGCTAACGCGTTTCGAGGACACAACCTCTTCCTCAGAGCCAACCAGCTCCAGCTTCCCCACAAAAAAAGTAAAAAAAATAATTTTCCTGCCTTTGATAAAATAAATAAATCAGCTCTTGCTCCAATACTCACCTTATCTCTGGCACTGTCCCAAAAAGAACAAACACAACAAACACTTTTCTCCTGCGCTAGAAAGGACTCAGTAGACCCAATAGGAATGTTCTGGAATCTTCTGGAATATGCACTGCTTGCTGCCCTCAACAGACCGGGGTGGTCCGAATACACTGGATACAAATGGGGAAACAGAAAAAGGGCGCACCGACCTAGTGCATTAAATAATTTATTAAAGAAACAAAAATAGGTATCATACTCACAATGGACATAATAACACAGGCATGTCAAACTGAACAAGACGTATGATCCAAACAACATCTGACTCCATACGATGGAACCCTGGATGACCAACTGGCTAACGCGTTTCGAGGACACAACCTCTTCCTCAGAGCCAACCAGCTCCAGCTTCCCCACAAAAAAAGTAAAAAAAATAATTTTCCTGCCTTTGATAAAATAAATAAATCAGCTCTTGCTCCAATACTCACCCTATCTCTGGCACTGTCCCAAAAAGACTCACCGATCTGTGGGCCAGTACCGCTGCAACCATTTCCATCTGGTGGTCTGTTTTCCGCCTACAATTAATGCACAATGAAAAATGAATGAGTATTATAGCTGGTGGGCGGCACCAGGGGCGTATTTACCACAAGGCAAACAAGGCATTTGCCTAGGGCGGCATTTTTCAGGGGGGCAGCGCTGCCCCCCGAAAGAAGGGATGGAAGAAGAGAAACACGCAGCATGGGGACCAGGTGGGATCTGAGAGAGGCTGTGGGCTTCTTGATGGTGTATGCAAAGCCTGAGTCTTGTTCCCGGAGATGTCCGGAGCTGTGAAGGTAAGTGTCTTCTCTCTCTCGCCGGGGTGGGGTTGCCAGTGCATGGGGGGTGGTGGTAGTGGAAGGCTCTCTTGGATGGGGGAGGGCTGGGGTGTTGTTGGTCAATGTCAGGCTCTTTTCATGGGGTAGGGGGGTGTTGGTCAGTGTCAGGGTGTCTTCGTCGTGGTGGTGGTGGGTGGGGAGTCGATTATTGTATTGCCAGGGGCAGCACGAAACCTAAATACACCACTGGACGGCACAGTGGCTTCATTTTTAGCACTTCTTCCTTGCAGTAATTGGGTCATGGGTTCGATTCCCAACCATGGCGCCTCCTGCATGGAGTTTGCATGTTCTCCCTGTGTTCACGTGGGTTTCCTCCGGGTGCTCCGGTCAGGGGTGTATTTACCACAAGGCAGACAAGGCATTTGCCTAGGGCGGCATTTTTCAGGGGGGGCAGCACTGCCCCTTGGAAGAAGGGAAGGAAGAAGGGACATGTGCAGCATGAGGACCTGGTGGGTTCCGAGAGATGATGTGGGTTTCATGACGGTGTATGCACAGCCCGACTCTCGTTCCTGGGGATGTCTGGAGCTGTGAAGGTGAGTGTCTTTCTCTCTCTCGCCGTGGGGGATGGTGGCTGGTGTATGGGGGGCAGTTGTAGTAGAAAGCGCGGGTGGAGGGCAGGGGTGTTATTGGTCAATGTCAGGCTCTTTCTGCAGGGGGGGCGCCAATTTTTGTGTTGCCTAGGGCACCACAAAACCTAAATACACCACTGGCTCTGGTTTCCCCCCACACTCCAAAGACATGCTGGAAGGTTAATTGGCTCCTGTCTAAATTGTCCTAGTTTCATCCCTGGCCATGTGGGATCTCCTGCATGGTGGGGGTTGGGGAAAGACCTGGCAACCTACCCTGTAAAATAATTGCTAAGAGAATTCATGGAAAAAGTCTCTTACGAGTGACGGTCCATGCAATCGCCAAGGGTTGGATACGACTGAATGGATAGATCAAAGCTGGTAAAACGAACATGAAAGTATCTGCGGGGGATTTGCCTCTAATGGTAGCCTATCCAC